ATTAACAGTTATGAGAGGGGCACTGTTGTATATATCGGGCGCCACATGCGCGCTTGCGTCAGATTCCGACCGACGGTCTGTTGGAAAAGCCGACAATTTGGATCAGAATTCCGACATTTAGATTCTCACTGAACAATTTGAGCGATCGGTTGGGATTCCGACCGTTGGAAACTGAAAATGTCAGCTCGGTCGGCTTCCAGCCGGACAATTTCCACTGTTGGAATGATGGAATTTTATGTCGGTGGGGATCCGACCGACATGAAATTCCGGTGAGATATCATCATTAATTCGAGCGACGTTTGATAAAGCTGATGAAATTTGAAATTATTATAGAGGTGAAAGCGTAAGCAGTATTGTATCGTCTGCGAGTGCCAAATCACCAGTTATAGTTTATGCCGTGAATGGCTTTACATTGGCGACCTTCTCTGTTAAATCAAACGCATATAACTCAGAGCCGAGCAAATCGGCCTTAATCAATGATATTAGCACATCGAATAATCGTGCTTCGTTGTCGATGGATGAGCCTATTCAAGTTGGTCATTATACGTTTCATCTTGGTTCAATTGGCAAATAGTTTTATCAATATTCTGGAAGAAAGTCCTCGTTAATCGGTGCAAATCAGCATAGATAATTCATTAAATAGTTACAGAGATCAAAGCATAAGCAATAAGCAAACAATAAGAACACCAACTAGATTTATATGCTTATACTTTTTTACTTCAGATACCGCGAGGAGCACTTGTGCAGACGGCTGATGAAGTTGCTGATAAACCGTTGGCTGTATTTAATTTAACGTCATGGCAAGAAGTGGAGCAACTGGAGCCACAAGTCGCAAAAGATTTAAAGACACCTTTTACTTCGATAATTGCATCAAGTGAGGCGTTCTTCACCAATCTGGTATGTGAATTGTTATTTGTGAGTTTGGGCAAATACGAAACGGTGGAAGATATTGATGAGGAAGGCGGAATCTCATCATTTCATCCATCATCCGTACACAGAAATGTGTTTTCTATGCAAAACGAACATGTTATTTTGCAACATTACTTCATCTCGCAGTCATACAGTCACGGTTCACATTGCATCACTGCTCACACAAATCACCTCAACAACTGCCACCAACTATTGCATTGACTCCATTTTGAAAGAGTTCTCGACCCTTACGTTATTTAAATGAGTTCAGGTTGAGCGACGTAAAAAGCGTGTATCTGTTTCGTCCGATGTCAACTTTGATGAGGAGGAAGAGCCAGCCAACGAACCAAAACGACCTAAAGGAAAAATGAAAGCAGCAAAATTCGGGGTATGTTAAAATTGTTTCGATGTATTTTCAATACCATCATCAGTGTTGGAAATTAATGGAAAGGAATAAAATGCAATTCGCTAACGCTGACTTATTATTGAGTATTACGAATTTATAGCGAAGTTATTGCCTCTGAAACTGAACTTTGAGTGAAAGATTTAATTTTGAGTGCTAGGAATGTGTTTTATAAAGTCGTCGAATGAATTGTTGAGAAGGGTTTTCAAAATGAACAATTAAAGTATGGTGGCCGAACGGGCAGTAGCCGAAAAACGTCTTATCGCAGTCGATATCGGGTTTGTTCGTAAACTGTAATGAAGTCGTTCAGTTTTCTGTGGAGTGTTAGCTCACTTAAAAGCTCTCAGGCTTCAGTTCTTCATCAAGAATAGTCGCATTTCAATGCATTGTCGTACATTTCATCTATTCTTGCTGCCTTATATAACTTCTGCTTGATGCAGTTGAAAACTATTTCGTTAGAATGATACGTGTGTAATAACCAGTGACTTATCTAAAAAGAAGATACGAAGATACCAAATCACCGCAAATCCTGTCGAGTTGATAGAGTTTTTTCTTGAGCATGCATGGACTCTCTTAGGTGTGCGCATAAATACCTCATCAGTGTTTGTTGTACCGTGGCAGTGGATGTTGTACCGTGGCACGTGTTTTATTATGTGGCGCGTGTAGACTTGTTAGCTGTTATCTGCCAAAACCTCTCTAAAGATTTCGACAATATTTCTCGTAATCATTCTAAAATGCGAACGTTTATTTTTGATTTATTATTCCATAGAAATACGGTGAATGACGCATGTTTGTTGATGTGGTTATATTGTGTGTGGGTATCACAACCAGTTTTACAGTTGACTATTATTAGCTTAACAATTTGTTTAGGCGACTGAAACTAACTCGGCAACTACGTTCCAAATGCCAGTTGTGTTGCCACCAGTCAATGTCACTGGATCAAACTTTATACCGAACCGAACCGACCGCTGCCTTCTCTATATGGATGCAGTCAATATTGTTGTAATGAAAGATGAGGGTGGTAATCGAAAATTCCGTAATCTCGTTATTGATTATACCAATGCAACCTTCCTTTGGGAGCCGTCTTATGTCAATTGTGATGTTAGCAATAATACCGTCGGTACTGCCAAGTTGGTCTTTCATTCTTTTTTTTCATTTATTGCTAAAATATAGGATGCATTTACTAATTGTAAGGAGAGATTTCAAAACGCGTAACTGAATCACATAACGTACTGATATGTAACTGTTTATAATCTATTGCTTACTGGTCATGAGAAGAAAGGTGCTTTGCAGGTTCCGAATACACATAAAGGTGAATGAATCAATCGCTAAATATGATAAAGTTCCAGTTTTTGCGATCCTTAACCAGCCGATCGATTTTGAGTACGGTTATTCTCTTTAGCATATTTTTCTAAGGAAAGACTTGAAAGGAATCTGCTTTGATTTCTCATGTTCTTTGCACATACACGCTAAATGAGGTTGTCAAAAAAGTTTAAGAGGAAATTCTCTTTCGAAACGACATTTTCTTTGTTAGTGTGTTTGAAATTTTTATGATTTTTCTAAAAAGAACTCAAAATCTCAGTGAAATATTAACTTCAGATTGACCTTCAATGGCACATATACAGGCTACTGGAAATTGGTGCGCGTTACGATGCTTTCAAACCTGAAAATTTCACCACCACGAACAACACAGTCAGAGTTCATGAAAGAGGTATACTTTGATTCTTTTCCAAAACAGAGTTGAATTTTCCCTAAGCTTTTGTGATGGAACTCAATTCATAATGCTTAATTTGAGAATGTTCGAATACAAATTTTTTGAAGGCTGTAACATTACTTGGAGGAACGAATACAACAGCGACTCAATATATGGATGTTGAAAGTTTTTACCAGTACGCATATGCGTGCTCAGGTACACAAGCTGCCTTTATGCCTACTGATAAGCCTTCTTATATGGTTGGCATCGCATTGAATAACATCGAAGTAGGTTTGAATCATTCACCCGTTTGGCGTTTCAAATGGATGTTAATTTCATGAATTTAGTAAAATATAAGCGATCCGATACTGTAAATATATTAATTCGACTAGAAATTGAGCAGGTGTCATCAAAATAAAAAAATGTCTTATTTTTCATCGATCAGCGTCAAGTAATGAATCGGTTGCGCAGAAAATTCTTTTCACAATATTCTCATTATTTAGGATTCGTTGAAGAATTTTGTGTATTGATTTTAAATATCGTTGGGTAGTTTTTGTTTCTTGAATAGCATAATAACCATTTGAGAGCGGAAGAATTTATCATCGATTAAGGGTCNTCATTCGTGGCTGCCTCATTAGGTTCGAAACTTTGCTGTAATGTGAGTTTGCTATGTTTACTTACTTTCAGGTTGATCTGAAAGCTTATTATGGGGAGAAACCTCAACCGTTCCTAGCGTTCAATCGAGACGTGAACGATTGCGTGGGCACATTCAGTGTGGGCTCATGGATGGGTATAATTACTTCGCTTGTATTGGCAAGTGTGCTAATGTTCGGTTATTTAATGCTTCAGTCCATACAAACGATGGATCGTTTTGATGATCCGAAACAGAAACAAATTGTTATAAATTTCAAGGAATGAGTTTATTGCATGCGATTCTTCGTTCATTCGTATTAATTCCATTGACACATTGTTGATGCTCGTTTTGACAATGTCCCATCGTTTTGGTCGTTCGAGTTGATGTATTTTCATTTTTGAAGATTGTATTTATTGAGTTTCTCACTTATTTAATGGCATTCATTAGCTTTTTCATCACATATGTATAGTATATCAATGATATGTTTGAATTCGCTTTATTTACACAAGACTTTCCATCAGCAACTGTTAACCGTTTGCCCATATCATCGTATCATTTTCAAAGCCGTCATTCTTATCTCTTGTTCGGTTCGCTTTTGAGCATTCCAAATTCTACTTATCTACATGTCTCATTTGAAACGTTCTATTGCAGCATTGTTAGAGCAAATGATGTACGAGTTTATTTCTCATTTTGCACTGTTAATGTTGTTGTTTTGTTGCAAACTGAACGAATAGCAAAAGGCTTTTTCGTTCGTGTTCATTCGAATAGGTCATCGTTGAGAGTCTCTTCTCGAATAATGTCACGAGGTTATAATTAATTCCATGAGATGATTTGAGAATCCACAGAACAATCTGTTTATGTGGACGAAATTTTCATTTTTACTACTGGTTTCCTGTCTATCTTTCATTCATCGAAATGATGATTATTTACAAATTTTATTCTGTAACTTTTTTGGTCAGCAGTCTGTGCAGCCATTTTCACTGTTCAGTTAGAAAATCTTTTCACGACAAGTGAAACGCGATAAAAAGAGAGACGTCAGTGAAACGTTTGTCATTCTGTAATAAGTGATCCAATGAAAAGCCTAAAATTTGATTGTATTGATTAATTGATCATGAAAAATCTCATAGGTTTTTACGTCGTTTTACTTCAATGTGAATCGACATCAGTCTATCCACGTATTCTCGTCATTGACGCGACCGTACTCTAAGAGTACGATGGTCGTGTGAAACGAAAGTCTAAATCGCAAGATTTGTCAGTATATTTCGTGATTCAACTTTATTAACAATATGTCATTTTCAGCTTTCACCCTAACTATTTTAAATATTGAATTGTATAATTATTTCATTCTATCTTAAGCGTGTCAGATATGTGAATAGTATTTCAAATAAGAACAGCGAAAACAAGCGCTGAATGATTT